ATTTCATTCTTGACGCGTTCAATGTGGCTTGTTGTGACCAGGAACTGACAATCAGCCCGGGCCAACACACGAAACAAAGGGGGCTTGCCTTTCAAACGCACGCGCCCCGCCCGCCCGCCCGCCGGCTCCTTTTCAACATTCGTGGCTCCAATTTCACACCCACTTTCGGCGGCGGCGGCGATACGCCAAGGTTACATCCCCCTAGTCGCCCCCCTCCGTCTCCCGCCTCCGCGCGTCTCCCTCCTCCCTTCCCTCTTCTCTACGCTGCCCTTTCTTTCCTCGCACGCTGCACACCCCCCCCTTCTCTTTTTTTGTGCTGCGACAACTGAGACAACAGGCGAGAGTTCCGAAAAAGGAAAAGGGGCCCATCCCTGATGGGGGGGGGGGGGGGGGGCACACACCCACACGCACACGCGCGCGGACTCTCTCTCTCGTGTGTCGCCGTGGCCTCCCGGGCTCGTGGCTTGCAAAATAAATTTCCAGCCGAGGTGGCGGGTGGGGTGGGGGGGGGATGGCTCACCGAGGCTCGTGTTGAAGCGCCGAGCCAGCAAGACGCTAATGCCACGTTCCCAGGGCCGCTCAATAGCAGGCTGGCCTCCTCCGCGGAGGATCGCTCCCGCTCCATCGAAATCGTTTCCGCGGTTCAGTTTTTTTTTACTTTTATTATTTTAATTTTTTTACCTACGTGACTTTACCGAAAAAACCTAAGAATATGAATCCTTGCAGTCACGAAAGCTTCAAATCTAGAATTGCAAGCGCGAGTTCACATTTTAAGTGAATGTAAAAAAATGTATATGCTGTATATATTTCATGGAAGCTGCTTCGTAAGTGCAGGTATTTCGTAAGTCGGGTGTTCATAAGTCAAGGAATGTATGATACACTTTCACCTGGCCAAGCGAGCTGTAGCTGGGCCACCCAACCCACGTATGCTGGGCTGCACAGCTCGTTTTGTCAATGGATCTGTTCGCTTTTCAGCCGATCTATCCTTGGAAATAGTCGTGACAGCACGGGTCCAATGCGGAAGAGATGAGCGGCCAGGCTTCTCTTACTCAGGCCAGCTTCAGAGCCGTGTCTTCATTTAAAACACGTGCCAGAAAATGACGTGACCAATGGATTCGGGCTTGGGATAGGGTACGATGTTAAATTGTGTTACGGTCTCGAAAACGTTACGATGGCTTCCCTCTCCGGCTGCATAGCAGAGCGGGGTGTGGGGGGGGGGAAGACAAGACGTGAGCTCTGCAAGATCACTCCCCGAGTTTTCATTCGGACATTGCGTCTGATTCGCGAAATTATATGCGCGTTAGTTTTTATAACAATAATTATCACTATTATCGGTGACACGGCGTGGCTCAGGTCCACTTACTAATTGTCACGGAAACACAGCGACTGATCCTGGACTGTAATCTACTGGGATAATTTAGCGAGCGTCAATGTTGTACGATGTGTCACGTACGCAGCACCTTTTTGCCAATCCACTGCTGGTTGAGGGCTTCCACTGTGCCACGTGGATTGTGAGGATCGTTTGACCACCGTGTCGTATGGTGGTGGTGGTATTCCATTTAGGCTCAATCCTGATGTGTTACCGAGACCTGACGAAAGTATGGAAGGTTCTCGGTGATTACATCAAAGGCAATACCGTACAATCATCGTGCGATATTTTAGAAGTATGCTTTAGCTTTGGATGCTTTTAACACAAATATCTAATTACATTTCACGGAAGTTAACAATGACACGAGTTACAAGGCCGGCAGACTGGAATATAATGTTTAGTCTTATTTTGTTTTGGTTGTGTCTACAGGTTTTATGCCAGCTTGTCATAGTTTAAAGAAGAATAAAAAAAAACATCTAGGTTTCGTCTATTGGTCTGGAGGGTTCTATCCCCTGGATCTGGAAAAAGTGTGGTTTGATGAATGCGTGCCGGCACGTTCTACAACAACGCAATCACCGAGCAGATGAAAACAGCGATAACTGATTAGCGCTCTTGTGTACAGCACGGCCCAGCAAATCGGTCGTGCCCAGTCAATGCGAACACGTGGTATTCGAGGGCCTGATCGTACCACCGTTTACGTACATTTCCATGACGCCGTGAGAGCATCGGGGGACCAATCGTTAAAGGCCAAAGGCGCAGCACTGCCATTGCTTGCTCACGCCACTGCCAACGGGAAGGTCCTCACCCGATGGGAAGCTCAGGAGAACCCCTCTAGAGAGGGATTATTGAGCCAACTCTTTTCCACGTGGGCCAGACATCTCGGTAGAAGGAGCGAATATCCACACTTTACTCCACCACACACGACCTGCCAATCGAGTAAATGTGCTGGGTTGACAGAGAATAGAGAGATTGAAGAAACATTGCCTGTTGTTTTTAACGGCCGTGCCGGAAACTCTCACCGGTGACCTCTGGATTGCACATCCAGTGTGCTGCTAACCAGGGCTTAACCTGTGTTAAAAGGGCTCGCATAATGCACATGCATAATGTGCGTTGACTCAGTAATCTCCACCCCACGTGGCGCAAGAGCGCAGAAGCGTGGTCACCATATCTACACCTCGATATGAGGAACGAAACAGGTGGACTTCTCCACAAATCTGGCTGTCGCCTGATGAAGCTCGTTGTAATTACTGGCGAAACGTCGTACTCAGATTGTAAATGCTGTGGCTTGGCTCTCCAACACACCGGTGTGCTGTACTAGTGACGAATTGGCACGTTCTGTTTACATGACAACCCTTACTAGTTGGCTGTGTCGGGTGGTGGCGGGTTTTAACGACACGTTTATATATTTACGCGATCTAACCCAAAAAAAAAACCTCTATTATGTTGAACATTAATTCATATATTTGCAAATTTGGACAATGCCTGAGATATTCAAGCACTCGTGTGGTATTTTGTATTATTTTGATATCTTTCGGCTGTACAGTGGTCACCTCTGAGCAATTTAGTTTAAACATTGTTATATTATGAAATAATAATATTATAAAATGATTATGTTGTGCCATCTGACGGGACGTGTGCATTGCGACAGGAGAGACATCGCTGAGGCTTAGAGGTCACAGCTCTGAGCTGCCAAGGATGAGATCCTTGGTTTTAATCCGGATTTCAAATGATGGTATGTTTAGTCACCAATGACTCCGTAAAAAAAAAGTCACATTAAATTTGGTTATCAGATAATTTCCATCTCTGAGAATTAAAATTATCGATTTGACTGTCATGTATGTGTGTATGGTGGGCTTCTTTCGCGCCGTACGTAGCCAACCGTGCTAAGCAGAGGTGCGGGGGGTAGGACAATTATTCTAGATTTGAAGTTTTCGTGACTGCAAGGATACATAGTCTTTAGTTATTTCGGTAAAGTCACGTAGATGAAAAATAATAATAAAATATGAAAATAACTAAATAAAAAAAAATATGAAAATAACTAAATAAATTTAGTTATTTTCATATTTTTTTAATTATTAAAATAACTAAGTAAATGTAGTTATTAGAAGTTGTATTTTTTTATTTATTTTAAATCTCATCTATGTGACTTTACCGAAAGAACCAAAGAGAAGGTCAATAAACTAAACACAAAGGCAGTTCTAAAGAAACGAGTTTTCAATCTCGATGATTTCAAAGTGCATCGTTCCAATGCCTTCCTAATATCTGGAGGGCGTTTCAGACGGCCGCAGAAGCGCACATGACAGCGAGCAAAGCGGCAATCCATTACTCTCCGTCTTTAGAGCAGTGGGGGTAAGTCGTACTTTCTCCTGCGCGGAGCAGAGGATAATTGAAGGCATTTCAGACGTAGCTCCTTGATATCCGCTTTCATGGGCCGATCATCTCATGACAAGGCTCCCAAAGTAGCTCAAATCAGGATGACGTCGTGGAAAAATAAAACAGCAAAGAAGTTTCAACGAAGTGAAACGCAATCGAGAAAATAGAAACTCTCAAATGTATAAAATGTTAAGCCTCTGCTGAATCAATGTGCAATGACTTAGTTTTGCACTTGATTACAAAAGATTGTAAAATGGGGTTTTGAAAACTGAAGTCATAGAAGCCCTTTTATCAAGGTACATTTTCCAGTCAATCAGAACTTCCCAAACTGATTATTATAACTGTTTTATTTTTTTATCATGATGTGATGCATGTTGTTTCTGTACCAACCCGTGTGTTCAAGGGGGTGGGTGAGGAACCATGACTAGTTCAGATAGCATCCAACAATAAAACTAACAAAAGTAAACGTTTTATTTTAGGGGCCGTCCATAAATGACGTCACGCGATTTTTGACGATTTTCGACCCCCCCCATCGTCACACGGCGTCACAACAAGTCAGACCCCCCCTCAAATATGACGTCACAAAGCTCTGCTCCCCCCCTCCCTCAAAATAAAACACACTTCAAATCACTTTAAACTATTGTCATTGTAGTGCGTATTTAATGTGGCGCTGCACTGATGTAGGAGAACACATTTATTAAAAAGTATATTTAATTAAGTAGAACGTGTTGTCCATATTTATTTAAAGTTGCGCATTTTGATGTGACGTCACATTTCTCAAACCCCCCCCTCCTCGTCACACATCGTCACAAATGTCTGACCACCCCCCCTAGGTGCGTGACGTCATTTATGGGCAGCCCCTTACCAGGTAAGGCCCACTGAGCTATGTAGCTCTTTTTCAGAAGCGACCTGGGCACAAATGATATCTCGACGAAGTGGCTCATCATGCGGAAATGTTTCGCAGCCAAATCTAAACGCGTGTTTCTAAATGTTTAGGGGAAAAACCGGAGGACCAAGAAAAAAATTCACGTGAGCACGGGCAGAGAAACATGCAAACTCGAATTATATAGGTGTTAGGATTGGGATGGAACTCACGACCTCCTGCATACCAGGCGAGGGTGTTAACATCTCGGCACTGATGTTAACCACGGGCCAGGAATAAAAGTCATGGTGCAGTGTGCATACCGCTGCGTTGTATGGGGGGGGGGGGGTCTTAGTAACCATGCTTAAGAAGAAGCACCCAATAGCCATTGCCAGTGTAACATTGTGTTTAATTAGTCAATGAGAACAACCGTACAAAATGAATGTCCAGCTGTACAATGTTAAGAAAAAAATGAAAAACAACAAATTTGCCCCATTGCTGCTGATGGATAGGTAACAGTTGCAATTGATACTGCACAGTCACGAGAAGTTGTGTCAGTGGTTTGCGCGCGCACGTGCGAGTGTGTATTTGTGGAAGCCGTATGTCAGTCAACCCCACCTCCGCCAAAACGTTTGGCCTGCGTGGAAGAGTAGGCCAAAACACCCTTCAAGAAGGGCTCTCTCGAGGCTCCTGCTAGTTGAGGCTTTTCTTCCAGCAGCGGTGTGATCCCGGCAATTGCAGGGCTGTGCCTTTGCCATTTGCATGTGTCGGCGTGAATGTGCTCTAATGCTGTGGGCCACGTTTGCCTCTCAGTGCAGCTTTTCCTCACTCGTTGCTGGGAACCATTGTGGGCAAATCTTCTTCCGGTCGGCATGAACATCATTGTGAAAGATGTTCCAATTGCTCCGTTGCGTAATATTGTTTCCCCAAAACTACATCATTTACCGGATACTGCACTCATCAGCATTCTTAAATAACAGTTACTACCATGACCTTACTTTAATTGCGAACAATACATAAACAACAAAAAGTGTTAAATGAGAAGAGATTTAAGCGGTCATTTTATGTCAGTGAAATCGTAAGCGATTAAACAATATTTTAAATACAGCAGGCATTTGTGATTCATTTTAATGTTACCATATTCTCCGGATAATAAGACGGGTCAGAAAAGTAAGACGCATCAGTAACTTGTGCCCGTTGTCAATAAAGCTGTACAAATGTGGTTACACAAAACAAAGACAAAGATCCCCCGTATAGCCTTAACAGACTGTTAGGAAAAGTGCTGTTAGTGAGCACCCATGAAGGCCGGCACGGCACACGAGGGGGTGATTGGCCTTTGTCTCGCCAGTGGCGATGTTTACACATCGCACCAGGTACCCATTTGAGGCTGAGTCGACCTAGGGGAGGCCCAGGCCAGTTCAGATAATCGTCACCGGTGTCGACCGTGAGCAAGAATCAAACTCGAGGTCGCTGGGTTTGTAGCGGAGCGCGCTAACCGCTTCGCCACCGCTCCCTCCAACACACACACTGGATTATAAAACGCATTGTTGACCTGACTATTTTTCTCGAACACACAGGGTGAGGGTGAAAGTGGTGTCATATAAATCCGGAGAACCACGGCCATATGAAATGTGAGCTGCAGTTGTGCATTTCCGGAGAACTGCGATGTCCCTTCTTTAAAAAAAAAAAACAATGGCGGCCATCGAGAAAACAAAATATATAATTAGTGAGTCACAATGTACACAGTTACAATAAACATTAAATTACCTAAATCGTGAAAATTATTAGTATATCTTGTCGGGAATTTATTTTTATTGATAACTATCAAAAGGAAACGACCCGTACAGTATCTGCTAAGAATCCACGATGCTATTTAAAGTCCGTCACTTTTTGTGCTGAAGCCAACATATATTACGCAGTCTACCCCAAACCTGCATCACGACAAACCTGAGCTTTGTTTGTTTATTGTTAAAATCTAACAACAAAGAGGTATTTGATTTGTAGAGCTATTTCCCCCCAAAAAAGTGAAAGCTACCAAAACAGATCAGAGGGGAAAATCACGTGAAGAAGAAGAAGAATAATAATAGCTTGACCTGCAAGTCACGCAATGCATTTAGACAACGCCACGGCTGCTACACGCATGTATAAAACTAATGGCTTGTATGATAAAATATATATATTTGTTTATTACAGGTAAGAAAAAGTTACTTTAGATGTATGGAAACATTCCACGTGCGCCGATTGTCTAGCAATTTTTAGCTTTTAACGAACAACAAAAAACATCCTCACACATAAGTTACACGTTAAATATCGCCGTCGTATGCGCTTGATCGGGAAACTTTAGAAAAATGTTATTCCTTTTCACTTGCACCATTCAATCCAAATGCGGGCTTTAAGAACGTCACGGTGAGACACTCCTTTGCTTGCATTTCCGGCACAAGTTTAAGAGGACTCATAACCGTGGCATCGAGACGACCATCAAGGCCTGACCTTCAAAACGATGTCGAAAAATAATATTACAACAGATGATCAAAATCTGCAACACAACAAGTATTTTAGATTTTTTTTGTGTTTTTGACAGGCTGGAGTTGTAAAAATAATGCCTTTGGTGAGAGAGTTTTTCAATCGGGGGTTGTGGTTTCAACATTCTGGCCCTTTTACGATGCTGGCCACATTTTGGTTAATTTTGAATTGCGGCATATCGCCTTGCCCCGAGCCACGGCTCCCACCGACGAGCGACTCATCTTTCTGGGAACCCACACCTCGCTCTGGAGGAATGCCGCCCCCTCCCATCGCCGCGTCCTCCGACGTCATGTCCAACCCAGCAAACTCCAAGAGCTTTTTGACCTCCTCGGACAAGCTCAGGAAAGCCAGGCCTCTGTTCGCCGGGCAAAAAGTGCTCAGGATCTTGCTCTCGACGTCGACGTGGGGATGCATGGACAACTTCTCCGCCTCCTCGCTCACGTCGAAAATGTCGATCTCCTGGTTGACCCCGACCAGAGGGTCCTGTTCAGACCTGGACTCGGGGAAAGCCTGCAGCTCGGCTGGATGCCACGACACGGGGGACGCCTGCAAGTCCACCGCCGCCGTCGAGCCATTGTGCCCATGACGCCCGAGAAGATCCAGCGTCGGGGCCCTCAACGCGGCCGAGCCTCCGAGCTCCACGTCGGCGAAACCTTCACAGGAGGCTCGGGGATGATGCTGCTCGGACGCCACCGCCGTAGGCCCCTGCTGAGATGGGCAGAAGCCGTTGAGGTGCAGGCTCAAGCTGATCTGGTGGATGTAGCTGCGCTGGCAGTTGGCGCAACGGTGGGGCCGCTCGCGAGCATGCAGGCGCCGGTGGAGCTTCAGGTGGATGAACTGCGTGAACTTGGCCGGGCACAGCTTGCACTGGAAGGGCTTCTCGCCCGAGTGCAGGCGCAAGTGGGTCTTCAGGTTGCTCGTGCTGCTGAAGCGGCGGCAGCACACCTGTGCGGGTCAAACGGAGACGGACGCACATTTTTAGTGCTCTGGATGGGAAACTGGCGTGCTGTACTGCCCTGTGTAAGGGTGTGCAGTACAGAGGTCGCAGGTTCAATTTGGATAACAGGTGCGGCGATTAAAATGATGGTGCAAGTTATTATTCTTATTTATAAAATGCTTTGATACATTTATCATGTGATCAATATCATTAAGGCTATTACCGGTACCAATGAAGCCCTCATAAATATAAATAAATTGCGCTTTCGATAACGCATCCTCATTGGAACCATGTTACAGTGACCTCCTACAGCGCTTTTTCCTATAGCGCTCCATTTACTAAAAACTCACCCTTAGCGCCATAAGAGATATGCCTGTACTTAATCCCTGGGTGCATCGGTGCCTGTCAGGATATGTAAGTATGTATGTTGAACTTCTTTCACGTCGTACGTAGACAAACATGCTAGCCAATCGGTAGTGCAGGGGAAGGATTTAGGGTTGGCGGATGATGCAGGGACAGGGCGTTTGTGTAGGCGAGACACCCATATACAGACAGGGGCAAGGAAGTGGTATCTCTCGGAGGGAGTACAGCAAGTAGGTTTACCTATATACCCTGTCATGCAAAATGTTTCTCCGAATCGCTAACAGCCATAGACACTGCTGGACAACGATCTTCCCTTGTTTAATATACTAAAAAAACATGTAATCCAAGAATAAACTTAAAAAAAAAATACTCAAGTTTCTTTCCAAATGCCAAATAATACTCAATAAAGAACTGGCCAAGTTGAAGCTCGCCCAGCTAAAGGATTCCATGTCTTGCTGTTCAGCCCATGCTTACACGGATGCCTTACTCTGATTGCGCAATGCAACCTCCCTATGAAAAAAAATCAGCCACTAAAAACACACACACGGTCTGGCGTAGACATGAGTCTGTTGTGGTTTCCCAGAATATTTTTTTTCTCAAAATTTCTAAGCAGCATCGTGACGTACGTGCCGAGTGTGTCAAGTGATACGTTGGTCATGCATTAGGGTGGCTCTTCGGACTCTGGTCTAAAGACAAAAATGTATTTTTTGTTTTCTCAACAACGGTCGCCCCACACTTTGCACAACTGTGAAGTGCTTTTGCTGGATTCAAACCCACCGCCGGAACCTCCGGGTTGTTGAGGCTTCCATCTTAATAGCGAAGCTGCTTCGCTCCGGAATTCGCGAGCGCTGGGGTCGTCACAAACCCCGCCCCTCCCCCCCCTCGCGGCCACGGCTGCCCCGTTACCTGACACTGGTAGGGCTTCTCTCCGGTGTGCACCAGGTGGTGTTTCTGCAGGTGCGCCAGCTGCGTGAAGCCCTTCCCGCACGTCTGGCACTTGAATGGCCGTTCGCCGCTGTGGATGCGCAGGTGGACCTGTTGGGGGAATAACATCCTCGTCACGATGGCAACCCGTGCGGCGGGTGCAAGGTGGCTACTGTATCTCCCACCACGTGCAAGCGGCGAAACGTCGGGCATCGTGCCGGACAATACTGCGTGCACGCGAGCGTTGACGCTCACGTTTTTAAAAGTGGTGCGCGCATCGCTGCAACTTGTTCCGCATTTACACCAGTTTTTTTCTCGGTATTTCCAACAAAATGAGAATAAACGTCGATTCTTCTTGTAAAACGATCACGTAAAAATGTAAATGCCATGAAACCTGGCATCACACCTAAACATCTAGGACTGAGACTCAGCTGAAATAAGCTGACCGACCGCCTGACCATTCCTCTACATGTACAAAACAACTTTGCAATGGACACGTTGCGCTTATGGTAAAACACTTTCGTGTTAAATCCCGCAAAAGGATAAACAAATAAAAAATGGAAAAAAAACAGATGGATGCAAAAGCACACCTTCAGATTGGAGAGCTGCCCGAAGGTCTTGCCGCAGATGTTGCACTCGTAGATGGTCTTGCCGTTCTGCTTTTTCAGCGGGTATGGCACCGTGTGACCGTTCACGCTCAGGTTCCCTTTCGCCCTCGACTCCGTTTGCGGCGGCTGGCGATCACACGCCGACTTGGCGCCTCTCCCCTGCTGCTGGCCCTGGGCCTGCGCCGCGTAATCGCTGGGCGAGCCGTAGCCGTAATCCTCCGGTGCCACCGCCGGGCGCACCGCCGCCGGTCGCGCAGCCGCGAGCGCCGCGAGCTTCGCGTCCTCCAGCCGCGGCGAGAAGATGCTCCACGGGTCGCACCGGCTCAGCGCCGTGTGGTCCGGGGAGCGAGGCAAGCCGGGTGGCTTCCTCCTGCACGGGGACGCGTGCCGGTAGCCGCCGTCGGGAGACCTCGGCGGGTAGGAGAAGCCCCGGAAGATCTCCAGCGCAGCCGCGTCCTGCCGGTAGCCCGCGTCCCCGTTCTTGGCGTCCCTTTGCGCGGCGGACAGCGCCGGTGGAGAAAAGGCGCTGTTCTTAGCCACGACCAGGCGGTTCTTGGGGCACTTCCCCGAGCCGAAGCCGAACTCGTGCTCGGCGGCGAGAGAGGAGGCCGTGGGGATGGCCGGTGGGGGTGCGACAATGGCAGGGTGCAGAGACACGGGATGCACCCAGGAGGAGAACATGTCCATCCTGCTCACGTTCATCGGGTAGTTTGGGAACATAAATCCCTGGTACATGAAGGGCATCGTCCTTCCCATAGGCTGCAGGAACGTGGACGAGAGGTACTCGGCTTGCAGGCCTGAAGGGAAGCCCTCCAGCACGTGCGTCCGGCCATACAGCTCGCTGAGGCTCGGTGCGTAGCTGGGCTTTGAAGGCGGCGCGCTGGACACCGAGCTGTAGATGACTGACGTTCGCTTCGGAGGAGGAGGGAGAACAGGAGGTGCAAGAGAAGGGCACATGCTCTGACTGGGACTCACTCGGTCCGAGGGGGTGGATTTACCAGAGGACAGCTCTCCGGGAGATGGGACGACCTGGTCGAAGTCACACCTCACGCCCCTGCTGCTGCCGGTCAGCAGATCGTGGTGGGTGCTCTTAGGCGGCTTTAACGAAGGTTGGTGGCTCGGTTGACCAGCGGTAAAACTCCTGAGATTCTCGTCAACTTTGGTCACTTCTGCGGGGCATTCCCTCTTCACCTTAACCCTGACCCTGCCAGAGGAGTCCACATGGCTTTTGTCGCTCGTCGTGCAGCGACTGATGGTTTCAGGGTGGGGGTGCCTCCACTCCTCTGCCACGGGCGCCTCTCGATTCTCAGGCCTGTCTCGACTCTCCCCTCGCTGCTCCTCAACAGTGCAAAGGGGTGCTGTGCCCCTCTCTTCAGCGGCCAGAGCCGGGGCCTCCATCCGCTCTGCGTCATCGCCTCTCCTGCGCTTGGCGTCTCTCTCGACGGCCGCTGGCGCTGAACGATCATCACTCTCGGGCTCTTCGTCTGCAGGAAAGGGGAAGCGGGGGGGGGACAAATGAGGGGGGGTGAGGGGAGTGAGAGGGCACGCAGAGGAAACGAGGTGAGACTAATGGTCCAGCACACGCAACACAAACAAGACTCTGGGTTTGGTTGGTAAGATGAGACTCTGGCTTATCGACTCCGGATATCGGCGCTAGCTACTGACATCAACGCTCCACTCTCCTCCACCCCCCACCACACCCAATCACTACATTTCCAAACCACTCCCCATGCATCCCCCCCCCTCCACCCATTCAGCTCCTTCAACTCCTTCACTCCAACTCATGCCACCCCCACCACCCCACCACCCTCCCTGCCACCATCTCCATCCAGCCCCCTCTCCTGTTTGTCTACCGGGGAGGGGCGAGATATCGGGATTTAACAAATGACTCCGAGTGGCTCTACTGCTGCATTGTTTGGGACATTCCTGTGAGGAAAACAAGATCCCGTGGCCCCAGCTGAGAGATTTCGCTTTATCGGCTTTCGCAACTGGCCGAGATCCAGCGCGATTACCGCCTGGGATCGAGTCGCGAGCGCTATTGTCCTGTGAAAGGTTTGTTTTGTTTCTCTACTCTTTGTTTACAAAACTTCGGATGCAAAAAAAGGTAACTGTTGCAGATGTTTCTCTGCAGCAGAAACTGAAAGGGATGATAGCACAATAAGCGAAGGAAACGCCGCTGACGGAATTAGAGTTTCATCTTCATTTGCTGTTAGATGCTTTTTTTTTGTCCTGCACCACGTTTTGAGACGTGGGATACTTTTCACTTGTGTACATTTGTACAACAACAACAAAAATCGACCTGGATTGGAAATGTGTGCGCGCGCGTGTGACATTTGGGCTTATCATCAGCTTTACTATTATTGCAGAGCAACTGCAGGCAATCTGTGTGGCGAGGTCAGGGAATGTGTCTGCATTGGAGCCGAAGTCTGGATTTAATAAAGCAACGACAACGCCAATGATGGAACGGCGGCATCCGACGGAGGAAACGCACGCTAGCGGAAGACCAAAAGGGGAAACGGAACGGAAAATTAGACCGTACGTGGGCGTTAGATCGCGTGCAGATGCACGGGGGGAATCGCAAGCAGCGGTGCCGACATCCGGCAGTGGATAGAGCATGGCCTCAAAGCGAATATCTGTCAATGACGGGTCGCGTGCGGCCGCTGTTAGCGCACGCGTCCAAAACTAAACAAAAAACCTAAACCGGTTAACATCGGAGGTGGAGGGGCGCTGAGGTTCCAGATCACGCCAGCCAGGACGATGCCAGCAACTGATAGTGCTATTGTGTTACGGGGCTTTTTTAGCTAGGGGGTGGGATTCTGGGAGAGGGTTTTAGCGAGAAAGACAGAGAGAAGGTGGGTGGGTGGGCGGCTGGCTGGGGAGAGAGAGCAAAGGGATGAGAGAGGCAGGCGGGGGGGGGGGGGGGAGTCGTGTGAGAGTTTGAGCCCGGCGAAGTGAAGGCGAGTATTATTAGATTAGAAGGAGAGGCGTGCGTGTGGGTTGTAAATACCTTCCAAAGGCAATTAGTGCAGTTGTTGGGCGCAGGTCGCGTTTTAAGGTTTTAGTGTTTGGCATCCTGCACACATTCAATAGCAGTGTGACACAAACTGCCACTTGATTTTGTATTACTTACAATATCAACAGCGAGCAGTGCTTATATTCCCCGTATAACGTTACTGTTTATTCAATCAAAGCAGTGCTGTGTGCTCAGCCATAATACAAGTACATGACTTCAGTCAACTTTACATTGACCTCCCATAGAGGCACAACATTGACAACATTGGAAGTGTCTCCTTGCAAATACGCAACCTGAAGGAGCGAACGATCGTCGCCTGTAACTCATTGCCCCTGAGATTGGCGGTTTTCCCCATTGAGGCACGGGAGAGACGTGACGATAGCAGGCCATGCAACATTTATACTCGACAGGACCGTCCTGCCAAAGAGTCATGAGACTCGGCGAGGCTGGCGTGAGTAAAAACGAGCGGGATCCATAACACCGAACGCCATCCTTTCCCAAATGGGCAAGAGACTTCATCGCGCGTCGCCTTACCAACATTGCTTGCGGTGCATTACAGAGAGATGGCACGCATCAAGAGTGTGCGCGTGCGTCGGAGGTGGTGACTGAGTGAAGCTTTGCAGCACGGGGGTAAGGCGATGTGCTGTGTGGCTGGCAAGGGACCCTTGGAAATGGGGATAGTGAGAGATAACTAGCCCAGCTTTTCCCAGAGGGCAGAGGGAGCCAGTCAGATTAATCACCTGATAAGCCGGCTAAATGCCGCTTCTGTTTGTTTCCTTTTGCTCCAGATAACCCCTTCTCCCCACCACCACCAAGCTCCCCACTTCCCCAACCTTCCACACAAGCCATTACTTCCCAGCCTCTCATAATTCACCAACATCTCTTCGACAGCTCTCTGCCCCCCCCCCCACCGATAACCCTCCCCCCCCCCCCCACCTCTAAAGCCAAGATCCCCCGTATAGCCTGAACAGACTTTTGGGGCAAGTGAACGAGCACCTACGGAGTTTAACACGTCGGCTTTCGCGACCAATATTATCCGTAATGGAGCTTTTTTGGGTAGATCGCATGAATATAAATGCAATTAGGAAGGTTTTTCACATAAACAAAACATGCCGATTCGTTACTAGTACAGCACACCGTTGTGTTAAAGGCCGGCACAAGAGTGTGGGTGGCCATTACCGCACCCGCCTTTGTCTCCCGAGTGGCGATGTTTAGACACCACACCAGGTACTCATTTAAGGCTGAGTTGTCCTAGAGGAGCCCCAGGACGGTTTCAGATAATCGTCACTGGTGTTGTTGGCCATGCGCCGGGAATCGAATTCGGGCGACCAGATTCGCAGCGCAGCCAGCGCGCTAACTGCACCACCACTCCCCCCACCACCACCACCCAACCCCCCCCACACACACACTCCCCACACACACTCTGACACTGCCCTCAAATAGAAAGGTGATACTTGAGTGTGACAAGATTCATCACGTTTAACTTAATCTCCGCAAATTCACTTCCGTTGTTATTTTTAAACACGTAAGTTTGAAGGCTTGCTGCAGTCGCGCGCATCATTTAATTAGCTGCCAAATAAAATTGGCATTCGTAATTTATGCACGTGAGCCTTGGTTGTTTTAACAAAGGTGCCCTTTTTGAAGAAAGAAAGAAATAAAGGTTTCACTTATTGATTGCATTGTATGCATTTCAAATCTGCTTTAGCCGACTGGCCTTTGCTCGAAACATTTTACCAGCAAACATGCCGGGATGGATTGAATCGTCAATTAAATGAATTCCAAGTCAAGCGATTCGATGGCCTTCAATGTGAATATGTTCGCGGTGTACTTGTTCACGAATTGATCGACCGCGGCGCTCACCGCATCGCTCACCCACGTCGCTCACCACGCGCGCTCACCTTGCAGCCGGTGGTGTGCCTGGCCCATGCGCCGCGTGTACTCGGGCGAGTACCACACGAGCAGCTCGCGCCCGGGGGAGACCCCGCGCAGCGTGTAGAAGAAGACGTCGTCGCCGTGCTGGCACGCCACCAGGTTCTGCTCGCGCCGCGACCGCGCCGGGTTCACGAAGCGCATCCAGTTGCTGCGGCTCACGTCCCAGCCGTCCACAAAGTGCTGCAGCTCCCCGTGCCGGTAGATCTGGCGGACGCAAATGGACGCGCGGTCATGCACTCGCACCGGCCACGCCGCGCGACTTTGCGCGGGCCCGAGGATCGGAGGACCGAGCTACAGCGTCTCGTTAATGACGATGGCGGTGATGAGAGATCTGTTGGACGGACAGACAGATGGGTAGACGCACGCACGCACGCACGCACGGACGCGTCATGCACTCGCACTGGCCACACTGTGCTCGTAGAACCAATATAAAGCAGTTTGTTAATGACGATGGTTGTGAGACCTGGTGGACGAATGGATGGCACACATCATCAAACTGTAATTTTCCCATTCATATATTTTTTTAATACGACAACAATAATTTCAACCCGTGACTTGCACAGTGTTCACTCCTGACTATTGCGGATAGAGGCACATTAATGGACCACTTGACAGGCAGGAAGGCAGCCACGCAATGAGCTGGCACCTACAGCACAACAAGCTCTGCGATCCTCCACATATATAAGATGTTTTCAGCTAATAATGAGTGTTTATAATGAGAATCAATCACTATTTTCACCATTCCGCATTCATGCGCGCATTATGAACGTAGCGTGATTCTAACTGCACGGTACTTATAAAAGTAACACCTGCCTTTCATCCTCTTTGATGCGCATGCCCCATTTATTTCCGTAGTGTCCTGAGATGCAGCGGCATCCAAATTGCATTGTGTCGCGTGCTGCACGGCATGCACAACGCCAGCGCAATACAGCGTCTGGCGCAGGAAACTATCGTGGTGTGGGGCATGCTGTGGCAGACTTAATAGGTGCTCACTAACCCCCCCTTATATGCCACAACAGTCCATAAATGATACGTGTTATTGTTACGTTTTAACCGCGTGTGTACTGTTATTTCACACCCTCTTTCCAATTGCATTGTTTCCCCTTTAATCTGAAGATTATACATTACTATAAATGACAAAGGGGCAAAAGACCACGTGTTGACTCAATGGGCAGCTGATCCATCACATTAGCACACGATGGTCTTCCCTTTCTCCTCAGTGTCTTGCCAACTAGGTGCTGAACGTCTGCACATTGATGCCAAAATTTGGCTTTGGTTTCCTCTCTTGCTGACGGGACATTTCGAACCACGGTGGTCCATATGCCCCATCCATTCATTATTGTCATCTTAAACTACAACTTTCTTTTCGCTTAAATTACACTGCAACTTGTAAGTGCAATAAAAATAAACTAAACTTAAACCAAACAATTTTTATTTTACCACGTAAAGCCCACTGAGCTATGTAGCTCTTTTTCAGAAGCGACCTGGCCACAAATGACAGCTTATCGTGTGGTAATTTATAACAGCCAAATACTCTAAACGCATGTTTCTAAATGTGGAGGGCGAAACCACAAGACCCAGATAAAAATCCACGCGACCACGGGGAGAACATGCAAATGCCAAATATACAGGCGTCAGGGTTGGGATCGAACCCATGACCTCCTGTATACCTGGTGAGGTAGTTAACATCTTTCCACCATGGCGAGTATTTTATTTTTCACTTATTGATTCCAATGCACAATTGCGTTCTGATAAGCTGCCAAAATAAAACTATTCTTTGGGGGAAAAAATAAAGCAATTGCCAACATAGGACAGAGGTTCACTTTGACAAACAATGGATGGGACCTATACGTCAATTTTGCACCCACAATAGCGCTGTGCTCTTGCGGACGCTGCAGACACACATTGCTTCCTTTTGGTCTGCCTCCCCCTCTCCCTCGTGAGCGGAGCGAAAGCATCTTAATAATAGAGGCCGCATTTAACATTAACGTGACAGAGAAAAATGGCAAAATGTTAATCGCAATTTCCTGCGCCGTCTATCTTTGGCCCCATTTTTTTTTTAGGACTTCCGCAAGTGGAAATGCACGGTGCAGCGCAGTCATTGCGTGTTGTGCTTCTCCGCTGTTGACTCTTGCCACCATCCTCTCCATCTCTACCCCAACCCAGCTCCCCTCCCCTCCTCCTCCCGCTCCTTCAAATTCACGCTTGTCTTCCCCCCCACCCCCAACTCCTCCTCCGAGCTCAGGGCCACTGGGTCACGACCTGGGAAATGCGTAGGCCCTGACGGATCAGATTGGACGGGTGTTCCCTTCAATGTCTCTGGGCCGCCGTGTGAACGGAAGCCTCTGACCAGCCGACGCGGGCGGGGGCTGAGTTTGGGGGAGAGCGGCGGGAGGAGGATGAGGAGGAGGAGGGAGGAGGCGGCGATGGCGGTGGGAGAATTGGGTTGTTGTCTAGGGCAGCGGCGTTGTTGAAGGGAGGGCAGGAGAGAAAGCAAAGGGACCGGTGGAACCTACAGGAAATGCGCGCCAGAAATATCTCGTGCGCACACGGGCAGCGGAAAAAACAGGAAGGCGCAGCAACCTGTTTGTGACGGCGGCAGGAAAGCTTCGACTTTCCCACGCGTCCCCGATCGATCCGGCCGCGCGAGGATGCACGGGGGCCTGACGGAGGCATCCCCAGTTGAGGCAGCTCCATTGTGCGAATTTCACGTCTCCAGTTCTCATTGTTTTTGGTGCACTTCAGGGTTTTTCGTTTTTTGCGGGTCTCGGTTTAATTGCGAGCGGTTTTCCTTGCCGTGCATTTGAACATTACAGTGACGCTCGAAGGATGCCATCGTGCTGTCCGTGCCAGTTGACAGTGTATGCGCTAAAATATTAAAGCGGAATATTATAACAAATTTAATAATAGCCACAGGCAGGGAATCAAACTCGGGTTGCCGGGTTCATAGCACAAACCACTTTATCTCCGCTCCTCCCCGCCCTACTCCATTAACAAATACTAATACATTTTTGAATTGCACTTTGTATTTTAGGTTCTTTAATGACAATAAAAAAACATTTAAGAAAAAAAATCTAAACTAATAAATACCCCCACTGCTGAGTCACTCAATTGCCCATTTTTGTGCACACACCAATAGGTGACGGCTAGCATTTTGGCACGGTGGCCATAAAAAAACAATTGTAAATTCGAATAAAAGACGAAAAGTTAATTCTTGGAAATGGCTGAAAAGAATCGCGCGAGCTTCCTTTATTTTCTTTCAGAATTGCCCCACGCCGAAGTGGGGGAAGGGGACCAGCCCACCTTGCTCCGTCACCTCTCCGTTAAGTTTCCCCCCCCCCCCGCCCCGCCATATACTTCGCCTGCCAATGCCACGATAAGGAATGGTATCCTCAACGTCACGAGACGGCGCTTTTGTTGCATAGAATCTGGAAGGACTGCTGCCAGATCTCACTATCTCATCAACGATGAAGATGGCGGTGGTGGTGGTGGTGGTGTTGATGATCTGCTTTAATTGTCGTTCATACGGCGTTTCAAAAAGATCAAATATGGCAAGTTACAATCGTATGCTTAATATTGTGAGCCATTCCACGGCATCCTAGGTGGTGGCTGAGTGGAGTCCGTGTGTTCCACCAGAATACACCGTGTTGTGTTGGGCAGTTATGATGGTAATGATAATGGAGGTGATGATGAAGGTGATGATCGATATTAATGATGGTGATGATGCTGAAGATACTCACTCTCCAGAAGTACTGCCGGTTGGCATTCTGCGGCACGGCGTCGCGCAGGTAGACGTCGCCCTGCAGTGGGCCGAAGCGGGTCCCCTTGGGGATGAACTCTCTGCTCAGCACCCCCACCACCTGCATTGACACAAACACAAAGATCCCCCATATAGCCTTTCACAGATTGCTGGGGCAAGTGCTGTTAGCGAGTAGCACCTATGAAGACTGACTCGGCACATGAGGGGGTGGGTGGCCAGCACCACGCCCGGCCGCCTTTGTCTTTCCCAATAGCACCAGACACTAATTTGAGGCCGAGTCGACCTAGGTGAGGCCCAGGTACCGATTCAGATCATTGTCGACTGTGAGCGGTAATCGACCTCGGCTCGCCGGGTTCGTAGCGTTACCCGCCGCTAACCATGACACAACCGCAACCCCAGTGAAAATGACACACACGCAGAGAGACGTACAATTTGTATTCTGTGTGAAGTGCCGTGGTGCCTGTTGCTGACACAATCTCAATATGCTTGTATTCAGTCCTGTCCCAAGACTGGTTAAACCTGACTTTTGTTTGTGCTTCCAGCAGGGTCTGCCAGTTATTCTGGTCTGGGGTGGCATCCAGCAGAGACATCCACTGTCAACCGGGAGGACTTTTATATCATAAACATAACCTAAGGAATTCAAAGGGCCTGGCGCATGAGTCACCGAGGTATGGGTGATCGTACAACGCCCTGCATACCGATGTTCATTACTGCATGACTTCAGCGATATTGCAAATCAAGGATATTAGTTCTTAATTCTCCAGAGCAGCGTGGCATGTCTTCAGTGGTTCGATTTCGTTTATGTTGCCAATAGGCGATGAATTATGTGGTAACCGTTTGAGTGGGGTTATCAAGTAATTAGCTCCTATTGGCTATCGAGATGAATCGGTGCTGCTAAAATGTTGCCACCTCTGGTGGTACCGATTTTGTTCTGGCCCGTGGACTATATATCACAGGTACTACGGGTGTAACGATGCGTTGGTTCATCAATTCAGATGGTTTATTTAAGACTTAACGATACGTGAATCCAATCATGTGCAGGAATTAGTGTGTGTTTTCTTTCAATTGAAGCAGACAATGAAAATCAATTTTTGACGCTAAATGTCACATTTAGGCTGATGGCGCGCAAACAAGCCGATGAGACACCAAAACCCTCACGAGGCAGTAATAATGAGACAACAGAGAATTGATTCTTTCAATAAATCGTGGGGCCGATTCATTACAATTCACCAAACCCTTCGCTCGTCCTTGATACTTTACTGCCAATAGATTTTCACTTTGCAATGTTGTACCAGCGAACGTCACTGAAACTACCAGCGGTGCACCGTGAATTATTCCTGTCTTGTTCACCAACCTTCATGCTTTAAGCATGTGATCTAATCCTAGAGAACAGAACGGTCTCCTGGTGATGTCATGAACGTAAAAAAGGCGCCGCGCTTTTCCCATACAAACGGCTCAAGATGGGACCTCCCTAACACCTAAAGTATGAACTTCAAAAAATATGTCTTCGCCTTCCTGCAGGCTGTTAAGTTCTTCGCTAAGGCCCGTGTATCCTGTAGCTTAGTGGAACACAGACTGCTGTTGTGACACCAAATACCCCCCTGTTTCTGCTTTTTATTCGTCCAGTTGTATTTGTTTAAACACAGCACACCTGGCCAATGTACGGCGCACACACACAGACCAGGTGCTTGGGATTTAAGCTGCGCAACACCAATTTCGGGATGAGCGTCGTCGTTGCCGAGTGAAAGGGTGACGTTTCTTTCTTGACGGCAGTATTTCGGCTGCCGCTCAACCACCGATATCAGGCCACATCGCCGATAAATCGGTAGGCTGTTGACGTTGTTAGTGAGCGCAAGAACGAGCCTAAGTACTGCCAGAGAATGGGGTGGATAATGGCAATTATCAGCTCCGAATTCCAGCACTTTTGGTAGCTAGTCAGACACGCGATTTTTTTTTAAAGCGGACTGGAAACAAAATGACGCACGCTCAAAAGTGCCTTAAGACAGCAATGCACAAGAGGAAGCCTGAGCATGCTTTGCATGTCCATATGCGACATCACCGTTCTTGCGTCCATTCTACACACGGCCGGTGATGGCCACCTGCTAAGTGCCATCTCTTTTATTTAGGCAGCGGCAACAGTGCGATTGGAGGTTTTCTCAGTGTAAGTCCCTCCGGTACAATGATGGTTATACTATAGTGATGAGTTCTAATAATATTGAAACCAGTAATACAGCCGGTGGTTATAACAGGCTGTGTGCAGCCATTGCTGGGGGCTGTTCTTTCACCGGGCCAGGACACTCGTTTTTTTTGCAATCGGCGAGTTGCAGCATCCGAGGCAGGCCCGGCAGCGTACAGGTGCAATCGCAGAAAAACTCTGAGCGTCACCGCACGTCCCCCTTCCAACCACGCCTTGACGCGATCCGACATGCTGAAGCCGTTCTGATTTTTTTCGCTGTCGTGGTTATCAGTGTCGTCACACCTGCCCGGTAGCGTGGCTACATTTCGGTTAAAGTCCCAGCCGTTGTTATTTCTGCCACCCACGTATTTAAACAGGGCCCTTCACCTCCGGTTTGCGCCACGTGAGCTGAACGGACAGCTGCTGCCACCCTGGAAAAGCCTCACTTCTCCGTGCCCCCCCCCACCCCCCACATAGATTTATGAGCGAGGTTGCTGAATTAGCATTTAGTGTCCCCTCGCACTGAACGGTAACTCCTGACCTCACAGTCCAAACTTGTCTGGACTCACTTGCACTTCCATACTTGCCTTCAAAGTTACAACAACCTTGGTGGCACGGCTAGCGTTTCTTTTTTTGAGCGTTTCACCACACGCTTCTGCATGCATCTTTGTGTCCAGAGACTGACGATGTTTTGCCTACAGTGATGTGTGGCAAAAGCTCGAGAGAAGACATTCTCAAGTACACGGCCGGACCCAGAAGGCCATACTTCGATAACGAGTGGCTACGAAAACCCAAGCTTTTAAAAGTAATCACCTTTACCTCACGATGTCGTTCTAGGCAACACCACGCACCAACAGTGGCTGTTTACAAAAAAGTGACTTTACACTTTTTTTTTGTACGAGACGTGACGATGTTTTCACCGGCGTGTGGCATGATGACGTGGTTACGTCAACAGACAAAAAACCTCCGGGGCAATGCGTGAAACGAAAACAGGAAACCGAAAAGCAGCCACCATCATCGTTCGCTCCTCTGTCCGCCACGCACGTCGGGGAAGCAGCAAGGCAGTGAAAAATTAACACGCAGCTCGCCCAAGTGCGTTTTCGGCTCGTACTGCGTGCTGTTCGGCACGATGTCCGATGGTTCCCTCTACCTGCTAGGAGCTTCTTTAGGAACTGTGGCTATCGGCACGTGGCACCGAACGACACAGCGATACAACTCTAATTCCGTCAGCGGCGTCTCCTTCGCATCAGGCACCTCTCCCGTGGAGTAAAAAAAGAGTCACGCTTACAACTGCATTAAAAACTAAATCAAATGGTAAACACAATGAATGCTTTGTGGATGGGATCAACAGATGGGATTGTAACCAACTGGAAATGCATGAACTGTCGGTAACCCTGTGGCTGATTGAAAGAGGCTAAGCTATAGTTTTTTGTTGGTAGAACTGGCCACAAATTGAGCGGGCGACTTCGGAATTGGCAGGAATTTGCGGCTAAGGGTTTAATAGGGTGGCAGAGACACTGGGGTCGGCTGGAGGTCAAAGCATCGTCCAGGCCATTGGGAGGGTGGCTGAGGGCAGAGTGGGGGTCCTGTGGGAATCAGACGGATGCCCCGAAGACGAAGTGCAGCGTTTCCAGCTTCAGAAAGCCCCAGAGTGTAACGAAGCTCTCACCTATGGAGAAGCTTCAAATGTACACTACATCGCGCAACTTTGGACTCTCTGAGACTTCTGTAATAGCTGCTGCCAAGGAGGTGGTCCAGCGTTGTTGTTGTTGTTGTTGTCGTTCTTGCATGCTACACTACGACACAATTTGACTCCGCAATCACCTCTCCAATTTCTCAAACCCGAGGTCTCTCTTTGCCTGACATGCAGAGTTTGCAGGCTCTCCAACAATTATCCCTGCCAAGTCTTCCCAGAGGCCTCTTTCTTTCTCAGATATCAAACCTAACATTGTTATCCCTGAAATTACCCTTTGGCCTTCTTGGCCATCCATCATAAATCAAGCCGCTTTCCTGCAAAGAATGCTAGGTTCCATAATAGGGGTTTATTTGGGTTAGATCACATAAATATAAATGTGTCGTCAATCCGGCCACCACCCGACACAGAAAATTAGTAAGGTTTGTCACGTAAACAAATTTGCTAATTCGTTGCTCGTTCAACCCACAACATTTAGAATTCGAGTACCATGACATTTCGCCGTTAATTACAACAACCAGCCTCATCAGGCGACAGCCTCCTCCTGTTTCGGTCTTAGAGGCGCTACATGTGATGTCCTCACTTGTTAGCCAATCAGATGCCAAGACCAATGCGAGGTCATTATCCACGTTCAGTCAGTCCGGCAACGAAACCAAACATCCACTGCTGGTTTCATTAATGAACACCCTTAAACTACTACATCCTTTCCACATTACAACAAGAATGAACCTTGATAATTTAATCTCTTGTTCTTTTAAATACCTTTGTCTTCTGCCATTTATATTCAAACTGTACTCCCATCCTCACGTTGAGAGATGAATAAAGGTCCATTCCGAACTCTCTAAAAAAAACCCAGTGAATCCCTACACGCTAGGGTCAGGAGTGAGGTCTCTTGAATTCTATCTGGGTCGGCGTTAGGAGTGAGGTCACTGGGGTTCACCGTGGCTCAGGGCCTCACCTGTCCCGTGTGTGAGACGTGGAAGCGGAGGTTGCGTGGCAGCGTGGCCTCGGCGCGCGGCGCCGCTCCGGGAAGAGGCCCCGGCCAGGGCTGGTCCTGCACGATGTACGTGCACGTGTCCTGCAGCTCCCGCTCGGAGCGCCCGGCGGCGACGCCGTCCTCCTCCTCCTCTTCTCCCTCCAGGGGCTCGTCTGGCGCAGCCAGACGGGGCGGCTCCCGCTCACCCATCACCATGCGTCCTCACTGCTGCAGCAGCCACAGAGACGGAGAGAGAGACAGAGAGAGAGCGCTCGTTAGCGACCCGAGCGTCAAGCGGGGAGTACGTGCGAGTGGCGTGGCTGTCGAGTGTGCAGGCGGTGCAACTGCACTCGCGATCGTGGATGAACCAGGGGGGGAGGGGTATAGATGCTGGACTATGAATAGGGGGGATATTAGACAGGGAGCCACGTTTTCATTTCTCGCCCATGCCAACCACGCCGAGTCGCTACATCACGTGCGGACACTCACCCATCGCTCCCTCCCTCCTGTTTCATCTAAATTCCAATCACCTAATCGTTAACACCATTGCTATTTGTAAAATTGTCACCATCGATGTCATGTGCGTTGTGGTTACCGATACTACTGTCATCTCCATTGTTATCAGAATCATCTCAATGTCATCTTGACATTTCCATTATGATCATGAGCAAATCTGTTGCCATTCTGTATACCATATAGAAGAAACGCTAGTTCACTTAACTCGTGTATAATTTCAATTATATACCCAAAGCTGCTCATGTTATTATAATAAATGCGCCAACTTTGGAAAACAGCTTTAGAAAACTTCTTCATGACTTACATCCCAGTTTTATTCACACGACTGTCAAACGCGTTTTCTTAGGCCATTACATTGCTGTGATTATCATTCCAAACGCAATAAATATCCATCATTCGTCACAGCCGATTATATAAAACTCTCTACAGCTTCCTTTCCATTCCAAAAGCACGAGTCATAACATCCTTTACTTTAAACATGATCTGGGGACTCTGCCGTATTAATAATGAGAAAACAACAAAAAGTATTAGAGTTCATCTTCATTCACTTACATTAAACCCGGCTTCCTTGGCAATTATCAGGTAATGTTATTTAAAAAAGAAGTTAAATAATTTAAACAATATCCAACCGTGGAAAAAGAATAAAAAAAACCCCGCAAGTCTCGTATGCTCCTCTGGGCGTTCTTCAATTCTCAAGTTCTGTCATCGACAAAAAACCGAGCGCTTTGACGATCTAAGTACGGAAAAACATATATTTTGCTTGCAAGCACAGGGTGGTGGCGTGGCGCTTTTTGAAAGGGTGAAACCACAGAAGGGGCTGGCTGGTGGTGAGAGACTGAGCATTATTGAGGAACACCAGCATGGGGGGCAGGAGGGAGAGAGAAAAAGGGGAAACAGAGGGCGGGGGGCCTTCCGCTGTCCTAACCGCGAGCTGCTGCCGCCGCTGCTGCCCGCCCCACTACCCACCAGAGCGGTGGCTCTTGTAGACAACCGTCACGGCCGCCCCCCCGCCCCTCGTAGGGGAGACCGCGACTCGGCTATGCGCTCTGCCCACGCCACGCCACTTTGTGGTTTTCCCCAGGCCACGACGTTCCCCGGGGCTCGGTGACGTGGGTCTCCAAGCGAGCTGCACAGTCGCAGCGCCAACAAGAGCCGCCCGCGTCACCGTCAGAATGACGCCAGTGAGACATCGCTCGGGCATCGTGTACCCGGGCGGTTTTTACATAAAATCTGTGTCGCAAGAACGCGATATCTTGTCTCGGCCAGATCGGTGCGGTTGCCGCAACAATTTTTTGTGTGTTTTAATGGCGTCTAATTTAAATGTCCCCATTTGTTCGGTACGCTTTTAGTGAATCGCCGTCTGTGATGCACTCCGGTTTTTATTAGACAGTGTGCTACCCGCTAACCGGCTCTGCATAAACATGTTATATAAGTTGACCTTTGTTTAACCTTCACATGTTTTGTATTAGCGAAGTATAAAACGTTTCAAAGATTTTTCAATATTTTAGATTAATATTGTTCCGTTGGCATCGCCGGAAGATTTTCTAAAAATGTTTAACTTCATAAAAATTGAGAAACTTACGGCCATTGTGTGTTTTTTTTTGTAAGAAATGTTTCTTTATGGGGAAAGGAGGATAGTTTTGGCACTCAAAGATGTTACTGTTGGGATGGGACGTTCGAAATTATTTGGACGCTGACAATTATTTAGAACACTGTCAGATAAAACCATTTTATATTCACATAAAATTGTTACATGTATCCTATATACACCGTATTGTGAAAAAGAGCATAAAAGTTAATCGGATTCCCCCAGTATAACTAAATAATCTGATTCTGAAATCAGTGTATTACCCATCACGATATGAATCCGAAACATGGAAACTTATGAAGAAAATGTAATTAAAAAGTGCTTTAAAGTGAAAAAAAAGACATGGCGAGATACATGTTGGGATTCCACAATGAGATGCAAAAAGAAGATGAACAACATGTGGATCAGGGAGCACACACAAAGTCGGCATCATTTTGACTGCTGGGGCAGGACACATCATCGTGAGGAAGGGACGGTGGCCATTGATCAAGACTGGTGGCGGAGTGGCAGCGTGTCTGAGAGGAATGTCCGCCACGGACACGCGGCGACGAGGAAGACAGTTCACGATGCGCAGGGGTCGCGATGGAGTTGCGGCGTAGCAACGACACCTCCGGTGAGCAGGGTTGGCTACGGACGGTGTGGGATGGTGATGGTGTGGGAAGGTCTCCGTCGAGCAGTAGATAAGACTGTTTGGCTCATGATGATAGAAAAACGGTGTATGAGAGACATTGCAAGGAACGTGTCTCAACGTGATTTAAAAAATTCATAAAAATTTAGGTAATCTCGATACGAAATGTTTTGACTATCTCAGCGGATAATATAATATTATACGTAACTCCCAAAATGTCGTCAAAGCAAGGCCAACAAGTATATTAAAATAAATCGGATATGAATATGAATCTAGACTTCGCTGAGGTTGGAAGCGCTTCCCTACATCATGGCACAGATTGAGCACCAAAGCGATCCGCCAACGGCGACGAGCTCTGCAGCAGATTTCAAAGCGGATTCCGCGGCACGTTGTTTGCATTTAGGAGGCAAACAGAAACGTCCCACGTCTGCTGTTTCACATCACAGCAACGCGGCAGTGCTTGCGAGCGGGCGCACACAGGGAGCGCCTATGCAGCGGCGCGCCCCGGTTCGATTGCCGCTCATGGGGGGAGGGCGGGGGGGGGGAGCCGCCCAACACAGGTCCTGGGCCTCCTCTAGGTGGACTCAGCCACAAATGAGTACCTGGTGCGGTGTGTAAACATCGCCACTGGGGGAGACAAAGGCGGTCGGGCGCGGTGATTGCCGCCCAACCCCTGGACCGTGCCGGCTTTCATAGGCGCTACTTGCTGACAGCACTTCGCCCTCAAAATTCTGTCGAGGCAATACGGGGGATCGTTGGTCTTTGTGCGAGCGCAGAATAGCACAAGCCCAAGGACGACCCACCATCGTCCTGTAGCCCTAGCCCACTTGTAGCCCTGTGCAATAAAAAAAGTATCTTGGGGCGAGCCCCCATTACGATTTATAAAATCCCACAGTGCTGATGACGGAAGAGATCGGAAGCGATATAGGCAAGGGGATAAAGATGTGGTGAAAAGAAAAAAGGGGAAATAGAGACGATAATACAGATGTCGTGCGATGGAAGGGAGATGCAGACAAGAAAGAGAGATGAGAGAAATTAATGGGCATGTTTTATGCCGTATTATTAGGTGTATTATTACGAGGTAATTTTGAGGGGATATTTGAAACACCCTATTTTATTCATGAACGTGTGTATGTACGTGTGCATGTTGAGCTTCGTTCACGCCGCACGTAGCCAACCGCGCTAATCGGACGCGCGGGGCTCCCCGAGCTACTTGGGGCCCACCACTTTGGCTTGGGGATTTTCTTTCTTCTCGAGCCACGGCCGCTGCCCTGGCCTCGGTGAAATGGAACAACTTTCGCTCTCTCTCTCCCTCCCTTATCTCCCTTCCTGGCCACGGCTAAACACTCCACCGAGCGTGTTCTGAGCACCGAGGGGGAAATATACCGACAATGACACGGTGAGTCTGGTTAAATGCGGGAGACGGCGCGTGTGTGCGTGTGTGTGTGTGAAGCCACGCTTCACCAGAAGAGGACACACACCTGAGTGCAAGCGTGTCCATCTATGTGTGTTGTCCCTGTGGGCGCAGTTCTCGTTAGGCCACGCCAGTGACTAAATGTGACATAACAGGCGGTGATGTCAGCCCGTCCCGGGGAATTTTTTTCAATGACACAAAAGACACGGAAAAGGAGGCTGCCGCCGGTGGCTCATCTTTGCTAATGCTTTGTTTGATGTTGTTGAGAGGCTGACCGGTAAGGCAAAGACGTCAGCCCAACGTTTAATAACACCCACGCCATTTCCCATGGCGTAGCGCGGGTTGCAGGCAGTTGCCCGCGTGAGGGCAGAGCAAAGTAAATTCACTCTTCAGCCCAGCGTGGTCTTCTATCTGAAAGCTCCACCATGAGTTGAGGCATGGACCTAAAACGTTTCCCAACCAAGGGGTGCGCAATGCATTCCTAGTATTGCAATTGTCTTTTATTTTGTCTATTCATTTTCATTTAAATCGCACCGTTTTAGTGCATTGCCATGTTATGGCAGGAAATCCGTGAAGAGAAGTGTCCAAGGGTGTAAAATTCTCACCTCATTATGTCGACACAGACGCGATCGTAATGTTTACAGAATGAAATCTACTTTAGCTTTATTCCATCGGTCACTCTTTTTGCCTACACTGATAGGCGAGCTTTGTTTAATTATTACTGAACGAATACAAAAAATACAAGGTTATATCTTAGTACCACATTCACCTTAAAGGTTCTCGGCCCATATTCCAATTATGAATAAAGCATTGTTGATACATCTTGTCATTTTCACGATTGTTATCCGTCAACCTGTTCATGATTTGCACTGCAAGGTAGGTAAACGCAGCTGAATCATCGCTGCTTAGTTCATTGGCCAGAGCAGAAATTGGTATTCCCTAAGTTAGCACGACTTGAGTAGCGCCAATGTATGTACAGTCTAATGGCTAATATAAATTACGCATTTGAATACGCCGCAAACTTCAAATGGTCATCACATGTCAATGCAATGAGCAAGTTATAGGCCACACTGTAACCACTG